TGTGGTTTTCACCCTAGTAGAGTTGAGTGTGTGTCTTAAAAATCTTAATTCTCAATTTGCAGAGTTTATAAAATACAAACACAATCCTGCAAGAGTATAAAACGCGATTTATGGAACCCTAAACGTATATGTATCCCTGTAAGTGAGAGAACCACGGTTTCTAAAACATGTTTATGGGCTTGAAACATTAGGAACCGCGGTTTATAAAATACTTCTATAACCCTGCAAAAGTGGTAGCCACGATTTGTAAAACCCATATAGAACCCAATAAATATGGGAAGTACGGTTTGTGTAACAGATACATAACCTTTAAAAGTGAGGAACGACGGTTTGTAAAAACACGCATATATTCCTGAAAAAGTAAAATGTTTATACAGCTATGGTTTCGAAAACGCATACACAACACTGCAAGATTGGAAACAACGACTTGTGAAACATAAATATATACTTGGAACCGTGGAACATAAGACACATATATATATATATACAATCATGCAAGATTAGGAATCACGATTTGTTCAACGCATATATGACTCTAAAAGAGTGGGAATAAAATTTGTAAAACTCCTATACAACCATGCAAAAAATGAGAAACTAGGTTTTTAAAACAGATTTATAACCCTGGAAGGGAAGTGTGGGGACGATGGTTTAGAAAACACATATAAATCCTGACCAAAGTAGGGAATAAGGCTTATAAAATACATGTACAATCCTGATAGAGTAGAAACTATGGTTTGTATAACACACACACAACCTTGAAAGACTGGAAATAACGAGTTGTAAGACAAATATAAGTTGGAATCATTAGGAACCACTGTTTAAAAAAACATGTATACATTCCTTCATTAGTAGGAACCACAATTTGTAAAATATTTCTATAACCCTCGAAGAATGGGAAACACAAATCTCACATATATATCCCTGGAAAAGTAGGAAACTTCCAATACATCTATATAGCACTACAATATTGAGAAACAACGTTTCTAAAAAACGTATATAACCCAGTCAGAGTGGTAGCTAGGATCAGTAAAAAAATACCTATTTAATTCTGAAACAATAGGAACCATCAACTGTAAAACCAATATACAACCCAGCAAGAGTGATAACCACGCGTTGAAAAATAAATGAATAAGCCTGCAACAATAGGAACCACTATTTGTAAATCACATGTATAATCATGCAAGATTAGAAACCATGGCTGGTAAAACACATATAGAAACCGCAAGAGTAGGAATGACGGTTTTTAAAACACAATTAAACGATTGGAATAGTAAGATCTACAGTTTCTAAAACACTTGTATAACCCTGGAAGAGTGAGAACCACGGTTTCTAGAGCATATATCTTTATATATATATGATAGAGAATTGGAACCACTGGTTTTGAAACAGATATCAAACCCTGGATGAGTGGTAATCGCGGTATTAAAACACCTATACAACCTTGCAATCAGGGTTTGTATAACATATGTGTTTCTGAAAGCATGGTAGCCATGGTTTACATTAAATAATATTCCTCTCTGTAGGAATGGGAACCACGGTTTGTAAAATACTTATACAACCCTACACAAGGGGGAGTTTATCAAACACCTATACAACTCTAAAAGATGGAGAACCACGGTTTCTAAAAACAGCATATAGAATCCTGCAAGAGAAGAAATCGCAGATTTTGAGACACATATATTACCACGGAAAAATAGGAAGCACAGCTTGTAAATCATTCATACAACCCTGTAGGAGTGGGAATCAAGTTCTAAAAACCACTATATAAGCCTGCAAAGATGGGGACCACGGTTTGTGAAACACATATATACAAACGCAAAAGGAGAAACCACGATTTGTAAAACACATATACAATATTGCAAGAGTGGGAACCACGGTTTATGAAACAGATACCTATCCATTGAGAGTAGGAACCAGGGATTATAAAACATATATAAAACAACCGTGTATCAGTTTGAACTAGAAGTTGTAAACACATGCACAACCTTGAGAGATTGGAAATCCAGGTTTGTAAAACTGATATATATCCCTGCAAGATAGAAAACGACGGCTTTTTTAAATACTTGTACAAACCTACAAGGTAGGAAACGACGATTTTTTAAGCAGTTACTCAATCTTACAAGATAGGAAATTACGGTTTTTAAACACTTGTACAAACCTACAAGATAGGAAACGACAGTTTTCTAAACACTTGTACAAACCTACAAGATAGAGAACGACAGTTTTCTAAACATTTGTGCAAACCTACAAAGTAGGAAATGACGGTTTTCTAAACACTTGTACAGACCTACAAGATAGAGATGGACAGTTTTCTAAACACTTGTACAGACCTACAAGATAGAGAACGACAGTTTTCTAAACACTTGTATAAACCTACAAAGTAGGAAATGACGGTTTTTCTAAACACTTGTACAGACCTACAATATAGGAAACGACGGTTTTTAAACACTTGTACAAACCTACAAGATAGGAAATGACGGTTTTCTAAACACTTGTACAGACCTACAAGATAGAAAACGACGGTTTTTAAATACTTGTAAAAACCTACAAGATAGAGAACGACAGTTTTCTAAACACTTGTACAAACCTACAAGATAGGAAACGACGGTTTTCTAAACACTTGTACAAACCTACAAGATAGGAAATGACGGTTTTCTAAACACTTGTACAGACCTACAAGATAGAAAACGACGGTTTTTAAATACTTGTACAAACCTACAAAGTTGGAAATGGCGGTTTTCTAAATACTTGTACAAACCTACAAGATAGAAAACGACGGTTTTTAAATACTTGTAAAACCTACAAGATAGAGAACGACATTTTTCTAAACACTTGTACAAACCTATAAGATAGGAAACGACGGTTTTCTAAACACTTGTACAAACCTACAAGATAGGAAACGATGCTTTGTAACACACACGTGTAATCCTGCAAGAATGGGAGCCACGTTTTGTGCAGAGAAAAAGATAATATGTATATCATTTAATGAATTTTAATATCAAATTTATTGAAAACATAAATCAGCAGAAATAAATGTAAAACTTTAGATATGCATAGACTTAGGATTAATATTAGAAATGTTCTAAGACTGTTTCAAAACGATGACCTACACAGAAATGCTGTATCCAAAAAACTTGATATTTCACGTGCAAATATTGTCAAGTGTTTAAGTTTAACAAAGGATTACAAAATTTGGAAGATGTGACGGATTTATTATTATATATTTATTTTAATATCGATGTTTGCTTGAGTTAAATTTATATTTACAAGTGTACATAACATATACTGTTAAATATATATGGCGAATTCCCGCCTATTTTCTAAAGTTGTAGAAGATTCCATAGTGTAAGAATCAACAATGTATGTATGTACGTAAACGTTTAATGTAGCTTTGTATTGTTACATAATCTGAATTTTCTAGAAGCTTTCCACACGCCTATAAATATAACCAACACGACGCGCCAAAAAAGTAGCATCTACTATTAGTTTGCTATAGTCAGTGTGCTATAAACTTCGGAAGCTATAACTGTGATTGTTATAACGCTTATCAATCGGAAAACTTCAGATATTTGACCAGGAGCATTT